GACAAACTATACCCTTTTGCTTTTCAATTTGAAATAATGAAAGAAAAATAAATTTTGATGATATATATGCAACTTAACCTCTAATCCTAACTGCAAAAAACAATACGAATTTTGGGATTGGAAATTCCGTGGCAGAATGGGTTTCTTGGTGAATTAGTAGTACAGGTTACTCGTGAGCTGTTACACATGAATTATATTTATAAACTTTGTCATGTTTATCGTTTTAAGAATTTTATGGCTGATGAACTGATTAACTTGTGTTTATTGTGTTTTATTGGTTCATTTGATTTCGATCAAGCTCGTCTCTTTTTGGCAAGGTAGACTCCGTTGAGACCACTTAGCCTCGTGATTATTTTATTTTTATTTTTATTTTTTATTTTTGGGTGTTTAGCCTTGTTAGAATTTAAAACCCATGGATATTAGATCTCTAACAATTAGACACACTTTCTAAACAATTAAATATCTCCACTTTCAATGGCTAAGATCGATCTTATCTCCCATGGATTATTAAGAGCATATTTTTTTCCAAGTATATGTTATCATGTTTTGGAACGGGCATTCTACATTTTCAGTTGGCTGGCAAGCTCTGCAATCGATGAAATGTACAATTTTTATTGGGAACTATTATTAGCATTCTAAAAATTTCACTTTACACTTCTTATAAGTGTATTTTTCTTTCTAATTATAAAAAATTTGAAGTGTAAAATGAGATTTTAAGAATGCTAATAATAATTCCCTTTCTATTTTGGCATGAAAATGTAAGTGAAAACATTAATTTGTATATTTTTTTTTCACATCATTTTTGGAGGTCCCGTCAGTCAAAGATAGCAAAATAAATAAAAGTGGTACTAAGTCCACTCCATCCTCTTATCTTCTCACCCACTATTAAAAGGTAAATAATAACATCACTATTTTTGTGACATCCCACATCGTCCAGGGGTGATCCTTAAATGTATATTCTCATCCTTACCTAACACGAGGCCTTTTGGGAGCTCGCTGGCTTCGGGTTCCATAGGAACTTCGAAGTTAAGCGAGAAGGGGGCTAGAGCAATCCCATGATGGGTGACCCACTGGGAAGTTGCTCGTGAGTTCCCAAAAACAAAACCGTGAGGGAATGGTAAGCCCAAAACGGACAATATCGTGCTACGGTGGTGGAGCGGGCCCGGGAAGTGATCTGCCCCGGGCCGGGATATGACAATTGGTATCAGAGCATAATCCTGGCCGTGGTGTGCCGACGAGGACGTCGGGCCCTTAAGGGGGGTGGATTGTGACATCCCACATCGCCCAGGGGTGATCCTTAAATGTATATTCTCATCCTTACCTAGTACGAGGCCTTTTGGGAGCTCACTGGCTTTGGGTTCCGTAGGAACTCCGAAGTTAAGCGAGAAGGGGGCTAGAGCAATCCCATGATGGGTGACCCACTGGGAAGTTGCTCGTGAGTTCCCAAAAACAAAACCGTGAGGGAATGGTAAGCCCAAAGCGGACAATATCGTGCTACGGTGGTGGAGCGGACCCGGGAAGTGATCCGTCCCGGGCCGGGATGTGACATTCGGTATCAGAGCCTAACCCTGGCCGCGTGTGTGTCGACGAGGACGTCGGGCCCCTAAGGGGGGTGGATTGTGACATCCCACATTGCCCAGGGGAGTAATCCTTAAATGTATATTCACATCCCTACCTAGCACGAGGCCTTTTGGGAGCTCACTGGCTTCGGGTTCCGTAGGAACTCCGAAGTTAAGCGAGTAGGGGGCTAGAGCAATCCCATGATGGGTGACCCACTGGGAAGTTGCTCGTGAGTTCCCAAAAATAAAACCGTGAGGGAATGGTAAGCCCAAAGCGGACAATATCGTGCTACGGTGGTGGAGCGGGCCCGGGAAGTGATCCGTCCCGGGCCGAGATGTGACATTTGGTATCAGAGCCTAACCCTGGCCGCGTGTGTGCCGACGAGGACGTCGGGCCCCTAAGGGAGGTGGATTGTGACATCCCACATTGCCCAGGGGAGTGATCCTTAAATGTATATTCCCATCCCTACCTAGCACGAGGCCTTTTGGAAGCTCACTGGCTTCGGGTTCCGTAGGAACTCCGAAGTTAAGCGAGTAGGGGGCTAGAGCAATCCCATGATGGGTGACCCACTGGGAAGTTGCTCGTGAGTTCCCAAAAAGCCTCGTGCTAGGTAGGGATGAAAATATACATTTAAGGATCACTCCCCTGGGTAATGTGGGATGTCACAATTTTTCCACCCAATTATAACCTTTTAAATATCTTTAAGTTCTTTAAATTTTATTTTCTGTGAATATATTTACACAAGTTTGTATCTAAACACCACTTAGATTAGACCCCCAAAATTTCAGCCGCACCAACACGGCAACACCCACGCCAACCTTCGCAGCACGGTAATGGGCTCACAACCACGCACCTCCACGGCTCCATCCATATATTTCCCTTTGATGTACACAATCTCCATTTCACCGGAATTAGATTAAGGCTGCAACTCGTCATGAGAGAAACGGAATTTGAAGAGGGAGGAGCTGGCATCGACGCTGCCGTGAGGGAGGCGTGCGGATGTAGATTGGTAGGGTTTGTACAGTAGGGTGAGTTTTTAAATTTTTTTTTCTCTTTTTTTTCTGCTATTTCGACAAATGCTGATATGGCAAAATGTTAGTAATTATTGTTTAAGTCCTTAGACCGTTAAATTTTAAACTTAAAATTTAAATTTGAAGGCTTATGTGGTATTTTGACATCTTTTAAAGTTTTACTCTCCAACCAATATACCAAATTTTAAACATAAAATAAAAATTCATATGCATTCTCTTTGCATTGGGAATGAAAAGAAACAAAACCATAATGCTTTAAACCAATAAAAAATTAATAAAGAACATTTAATAATTAATTAAAAAAATCTGAAGGTGCTGTCAAATTTGATAGCAAGAGGAAGAGATGTCATTACATGTCATGCCACATCAGATTTGGCTTCTCGGTTGGAAAACATTAATGTTGTCTTTTGGTACTGTTATTGCTAATTTGGATATTTTGACATCTCCTTTGGAGATGCTCTTAAATGTCATTTTATAAGAGAAGATATTTGTCATTGACATTTATATTTTAAAGTGGGTGAAATGATAAGACAATGGGGTGGACTGAACACCACTCATAATTAAAAAGATTTTTATCACAGATAGTCCCTAAGATTGATCAAATCATTATTTTGGTCCCTTACTTTCGAAAGCAATCAATGTCGTTCCTAACATTCACTACTACAAATTAATTTGGTCATTCCGTTTAGATTGGTGAAACTCATCATTTGGCCCCTCACTTTTAAAAATCAATCATTATCGTCTCTGACATTCACTACCGCACGAAATTTAATCATATAACTAAATTGATGTGCGGTAGTGAAAGTCAGTAACCAAATTCATCGATTTTTGAAACTCAGGGACCAAAATGAAGAGTTGGATCAATATTAGAGATCATTTGTGATAAAACCCCTTATTTTCTGTAATCTACGTGTCACCATTTTATTGGATTTGTAGGTCTCATGTACAAACTAACAAAATAGTTGAAGAAATCTAAACAGAATGACCAAATTGATATACGGTTGTTAATGTCAGGGACAACATTGATTAAGTTTGAAAGTTAGGGACCAAAATGATGAGTTTGATCAATCTCAAAGGCTATTTGTGATAAAAATCCTAAATAAAAATCCAAATTTATATAAATAATACCTGCATTCATTTTCCTACTAGCAAATAATGTATCTTCATTATAGAAATTCTTAATCGAAACCATTCAATTACTTAATATTGATTTGAAGTTCTTCCTTGCAAAAAATCATTTGAATGAAAGATCGTTTAGTCATCCAAATGTATCAAATAAATGGGCAATTCATTATTAATTAATACATTTGAATGACTAAATGCTCTCCAATTTGAATGACTTTTTTGTAGAGATAATTTTCAAATGAAAACAATTCCGAATATAAAAATTTCTACGATGAAGATACGTTATTTGCAAGTAGCAGAATGAGCTTATCCCAAAAGAGAATGCAAGTATTATTTCATTCTAGTTCTGTTTTACCCACATAAATGAAACTTATAAAGAAGAAAAATTTCAAGCAAAATTACGAGAGATTTTTCAGTGTGACCAGTACATTGGGTGGTACACTACGTGTCATTATACAAGTAGTGGGATATATGTGCTAAAAAGTTAATAACTTAAAAAATAAAATTTCCCACCACTCTTATTAAAACACATGATGTACTACTTGTATTCCCGTCACAATTAAAAATTTCTCCAAAATTACAGCTTAAAATTAATGCAATTCAACTATCCATTTTCCCCCACAAAAATACAACTACCTTATCTTAAAAAGAAGAAAAGGCTCAGGCCATTTCAACTACATCTGCATGCATGTTCTACGTTGCTGTTGCCTGGTTCATCTTACTGAAGAAACTTTACACGAGGCAATGGAAGAGGCTACATGTTTACACCTAATCCCGACAACTTACACCACGCAATGCATGCTCTACGTTGCTGTTGCTGGGTTCACTCACTCCCCCTATAAGTACAGAACCGATCTGCTACTGTTTTACCATCCATCTCTCTGAGTTTTCTGTTCCATTGCAACATTTGTTGATTCTTTAGTCTTCATGATGGGGTTTCTCCTCTCCAGAATCTTTGTTTTTCTCACTGTAAGTGAGCTCTGGAACTTTAGTTTTCGATATTATTTTAGCAGATTTGTACATTTGGTTACCTGGTGACCGAGAAATGCATGGTTGCTCTTATGCATCCTTAGATTTGATATTTGATATAAAGCTGAAGATATATAGCTTTGGTTTTAACGTTTGAATCTCAGCCCTTGATTTCAATTGTGAAGAAAACGAAGGGGCTTTCTTGGCATTTTTGAATGCTTCACCAAAATGGCCTTCTCCCTTTATCTATATAGATACACAAAGGTTTGATCACACTCACCCTATAAAATCTTACAATAAGATCTCAAATGTTGCATGCAGCTCACACTGGTGGGAAGCCATGCTGCTGCCTTACCAATACCAGCACCTCAACGCTACTGGAACTCCGTCCTCCCAAACACACCAATGCCGAAATCTCTCAGCCAACTCGTCATGCCTGGTAAATAGTATATTATATATACACAACTCATACGCTCTCATAGACAGAGTTCGATCGGCCTCTTCCACCGTTAATTTACTGATGCTCTTAGACTCATAATCTTACTTATTTTCGATTTATCATTTATGTTGTTGCTAATTAAATCTGCAGACTTCATTAGTGTTGGCAAAGGGAGCGTTATTCTTCACAACCCAGTTCACAAGGAAGAGAATTGGGCGTATTCGAAAGATTCAGATGATGAGAACGCCCGTTTCCAGAATGATGCTGCAGAGAACGCTCCATTTTGTGTGAAATATGCCGATATTGCAGATGATCCCGCAGAAGCTGAAAGTCTAACACAAGTTGAAGTCGACCCAAACCGAACAATCTTCTTCTTGGAGAAGGACCTTCATCCTGGAAAGGCAATGAATTACCGATTAGCTGGAAGTGGAAATTCTAGCACCATACCTTTCCTGTCCCGAAAAACTGCAGAGAGGATCCCCTTCAGTTCAAGCCAACTGCCAGAAATTCTGGACAAATTATCAGTGAAACCGGGGTCTGATGAAGCCGATTTGATTAAGGGAACCATTCAAAATTGTGACAGTCCAGGCGCGAGTGACGAAGCAAAACAATGTGTAACCTCGTTAGAGTCGATGATCGACTTTGCCACCTCCACGCTGGGATCAAAAAATGTTCTAGCAATCGCAACGGAGGTGGAACAAGGAGCTGCCCCGATGCAGAAGTACACAATAACCGTAGATGGAGCGAAGAGGCTGGCAGCCAGCAACATCATGGTGTGTCATAAGATGAGCTATGCGTATGCCGTCTTCTACTGCCATTCAATTGAAAAAACGACGACTTATGTGGTGCCTCTGCAAGGAGCTGACGGATCGAAAGCCAAAGCAGTAGCAGCCTGTCATCAAGATACATCTCAATGGTACCCAAATCATTATGCCTTCAAAGAGCTCAACGTTGAGCGAGGAACCGTTCCCATCTGCCATTTTCTTAAAGCCGAGGATGTTGCTTGGGTTACAAACCAAAAACCAACTTGATCTGGTTGAATTTGTTCGACCTGATCGATCACTAGCCTATATGTAAGAATGTATATCCTCCGGTAATAAATGGAATTACATAAGACCTGATAAATCAGTTGTGTTTATGTCTGCGACTACTGACTGCCATAGCACATCTTACCCATTAGAAACGCAAATTTCGAGTTACAAATTAAGAAAACAGTACATCTTAAATATAAAAAAAAAATGTAATGCTAGAGAGACCACGTAAAAACACTTTTGTGACATTTGTCTTTATGTTGATCGGCTTGAAATGGTTGCTAAGAATATCGGAGTTAAACAGTGTCTTGGTTTGCACCTCATCGGAAAATATTACTTCTGCATAATCATATGACCACATGTGACTTTTCATTACATTTCAAAAGACATTGATTAAATTTCGTGCCAAAATAAAAAATAAAAAAAAAATTGGTTGAAAAGTTGCAACTTTCTTTTTATGGGAAAGTGTCGATTTAGTCCATGAACTATTACCTAAGTAAAAATTAGGCTCTGAATTATTATTTTTCGGTAAAATAAGTCCCTAAATTTCATCCCTACTATTATATTCAAAATTATTTTATCCAATTTTTTCGTCAACTTAAGTTATTTGACATACTTAATACCGTCCTTCTCTTGCTTCTAAGCCCTTAACATTTCATAGAAGTTACAAATCTAACGTCTAATTTATTGTTAGCCCATTATGAAACTTAACCCTCCACTTTCCCTTAGTGTAGATAATGTCGTTTGTTAAAAAAAAAAACAAAAATTTATCCTCTGAAGTTGACTTCACACACTATTTCTTTATGAAAAATTACTAATCTACCCTCCAATGTGTATCACATACAAGTAACATGATTTAAATTGACGGAAAATTGAATATCGTAATTTCAAATCTAATATTAGGGATGAAATTGATAGATTTTTATAATTCAATGATTGATTTTTCCGAATAAATAATTTAGGAACCTAATTTTCACTCAAGTGATAATTCATGGGCTAAATTGACAATTCACCCTTCTTAAGAAAACAAAATTTGAGGATTATTCGATATTAGCTCCTCAGAGTAAGACATTGTAGGATGCAACGTGTCCACCCTCACCCAAAGGCGAAGGGTAGGACATTTAATACCAAAGAGCTTAAGAGCTTAACCCTTTTCGATCAAGCAGATGACTATGTTTCCCGTTTCCCTGAACATCCTACATTTCTTCAACCAAAACATAAAACAGAAGGAAAAAAAAGACCTACATTTCTAAACCATGTCCTACCTACTACTAGACATTTTCGCATAAAGCTGATCCCCTTGTTCAAAATTTAATGGCACAACCTTGTGGAAGACCCATGCTGAGAAATTGGTTTTCCTTTTGCTGGCAGCAAATCTTATCCACGAAGCTGTGAATGAGCTGACCGGCCAAGCTTGATGGATCATCGATGAAGGTGTCCACGAATACTCTAACCACCCTTCGTTCTTGCACATTTGCTTTCAGACTGAACCAAGTCAGAAATTTTACTCTAAAATCTTCATCTACGTGGCCCTCGCACTCTAACCATTTGATTGCTCTCACAGAGTAGTCGTAATCACTTTCCTCTGCTCGCTTTGCACATCTGAAAACTGGTACTTTGCGCATTCCGTTAGATTTACAAGGTGTCAATGGAGAAACTGCATCTTTGATCAAAGAAACAGTTTCAGTTAAAGGAAGCAGCGAGTAGAGACGTTTGCTCTGGTTCTTGCCAATGCCATCTGATAACTGAAGATTTGCGGGATGGGCTCCAGAAGTTAATTTGATGTCACTAGAATTGGTTGATTCAGCTTGGGAATGATTTTGAACAACTACTACATTGTCTTCCCTTCGTTTTGTCTCTGACACAACAGAGCTATCATAGGATGCAGGCGTGACCCATTTAGCTTCCCAAACACCCAATATTCCTGAGTTGCTAAACAGAGAAACCTTGCAGAAATATTCAGATGAGGGATGGAGATCGGTGATGCTAAATTTCTTCTCAGGCCTCAAAACAATGAAAGAGGGTTGGTCTGGGTAATCCTTTGCATCAGACTTACGATGCCACAGCCTGCAACCCAAGAAGTTGTTAAAAAGTTGGTCCTCATATTCTAGCACAATGACAACAGAAGTCGGGGATGAGTCTTCAAACTGGATGCGGCAAGCTGATACAATAGAGTTATTAAGTAACATCAGTGAACAATAACTATATATGAATTGGTTATAACTTAACTAACAAGGGTGACGATACCAGCGAATAGTTTTCATTCCCTACTGCAGTCAGAGGGTCAGACGTAACTCATATAAAATGAAATGCATGGTGCTGTGTTCAATCTAGATGCTGCATATGTGAATGCAGACTTCAAATTATTGAAAACAACGAAACAATAACTTACTGGCTTGCTCTTCCTTTTCTGCATGGACAGGGCAAGGAACAGAAAACATTGTGTCAAACGTGTCCAATGCTGAACTGCACAATTTCTGAACTTCAGCACCACAAGAGAGCCTGTTTACGATTCCACGTGCCATCTTTGCACAGACCTGTTCCAGAGGCCCTACTTCATTGTTCAGTTTTTTCATGGCAGTTGCTACCGTGTTCTGCAGATTTTGGTATTTCTTCGTTCCTAAAAGAATTTTGTAAGATAGAGAAATTCGTAGACACAGTACATCCACTCTTCTAGCCTCCTTTGCAATCATCAATTGTTTTCTCCAGGTTCTGTAAACAAAACCAACCATCTAATTAGCAAACAGCTTTATTTGGCAATTGAAGAAAAGTGAAATATTTTTCATTCTAGATTAGGTCAAATAACCTGAATTGTCAACCTCATCCTTACCAACCATTTGCTACATTCGTATCAATGAAAATATTTCCTTGGAATAAATTGATAGTCTAACTGTTTTACTTCTAGTTTTCAGTTTGTTGTGGATTGATTTAAATTTTCTCAGAATAGTTTGTAACCAAAAATATTACCAACAAAAACATATACAGGTGACATATTAAAAAAAAATGTTGTTTCTATATACTTCGAAGGAATTATCATGACCTACATCTTTCATTTCTAGCTGTAGAAAGTGTGCCATTTCCTATGTACTTAAGAGATAGCTTGGTAGATTCTGTAGTGTTCGATCACTGCTACATCGGAGAAGCAAAATATGTAGCATTTGCTGTCCGCATACCTTTGTGTGTGCATGCGTGCACAGGCACACAAACGCAACACCTGTAGATGTCTTTAAAGTTGATAAATAGGCAATTGGTTTTTCTAGGTTGGGACTCTGTACTGACCAAGACATACACGACTAGCATCATAATATCATACAATGCAGTTAAGAGTAAGTAATTGAGATTAAATGGTCACAGGTACTTAAAAAATATTTATTACCTCATTATATCATTAACCTTTCCGCAAGCAACACAATAGAAGCTTCCATCCAATTCTGGACAGCACCCGCTCTTCATAAAGCCAGATTTTTCATGCATTAGAGCACATTCCAGATGACATGACATTCCACATGGACCATTCTCATCAGCAGAATCAGAGCCACAGGTCAACCATAGACTAGGATCCTTGTTATCATCGAAAAGTTGACAGATACAACAAGAACATCTTTTGCAAAAAGACTCCTCTAACCCAAAGGCAGCTTTGCATGCTACATTATGACAAACTTGGATTTTAGGATTTCCTTCTTTAGTCGTCACCGGAGAAACATGACCTGTGTCAGAGAGAGGTTGAAAGGAAGCTTCCCTTTTCCTTTTCTTTCCAGTTTGAATTTTGGCCGGAGCAACTTCAGGATTACTATTAGTATTGCTCTTGGAATTCAAATCAATTACCTTCAGAAGCTGCTGTATCATTAGATATTTTGAATATCCTCTGTACTTCCTTTCTTTACCCATCTCGGCACAGATAATTTCAAGAAGTTCCCTACGGGTAAAGGAACTTAGAATCTCTGGGGCATCTTTTGACCATTTGGCAATCTCTCGGACTAGTTCTCTCTTTTCTCCCAAGCTTAGGCTGCTACATTTTTCAGGGCCGAGTACAAAACCTGAGGAAATAAAAAATCAAATGTCAAACTGAATTTCAGGTGTCTTATGTTTTATAACACAAGTAGATGAAATTACAGATTATCTGCAGCCAAGAAAATGTTGAACATAATCACTGAAACCTAGTAGTTACTCATACAGAACAATATACGATTCACGTTCATGGTTTATCTTCGGTGTTCATATAAATCAACCACACTCAGACTGAAAATGAATATCCATGCACTGACAAAGTACCAAAGGGAATCCAGCCACAACTAAGCTTACTGCAAAATAACTCGTTAACATATTCTTTGGTCTTCTCCAAATTTGTTCAACCATAAGTTGTTTCTTTCTTTTGCCAGGTAAGTTTTAATTTGTAAGGGACACCAACAGGCTTGAACCTGAGATAGCCCTTTAATTTTGGTAAACTTTGCCAAAATAGTGTTCACATGTGGACTCTGGTTCCTTTTGGCACAACGAAAATTAATGGAGAGGTTCGAACTCTTTCCTTCAGTGTGACTAAAATACATCGTACCACACGAGCTACAACCCCACCAGACAAGTTGTTCGTTCTTATAAAACAAGTAGCTCTCAAATCACAACTGTTCTTCTGGAGATATATCGTCGTATAACTCAAATATATCAACAGAAATTAGTCATTTGACAATGACAAACGACAGACTACTATTTCAGCGTCAACTCCCATAGAAACATAAACTTCATTCTAAAACCCCATTAGGATTCCGAGTTCACAAAACTTATCGAAAAAAATAACTTATGACAAAACAGCTTTACCACAATATCAATGAGTTATAATTGTTCAAGGGCAAACAAAGTTTTACAACAGGCAATGCTGGTTGCCGTCATTAGTCATTCCAAACAGTGTCTCCCTAAAGACTTACTAGCAAGAGCAAACGGCCATGTCTGATTATTTAAAAAAATAGAAAAAACCCCAAAACCCAGAAAAATCATAACCTGAATCATCAGCATAACCTAATTATTCAAAAAAATTTGGCATTGGGCAACATACGTTGGGGATAACAGCAATATTTATGTGTTCTAAAATAGGGAGAGGCAAATATAAAAGAAAAGCGAACTCAGATGCAAATAATACTTTTGTGATGACATACATTGTGGAATAAATCATAAAGTAAATAAAACTAACAAATCAACTGCAAAAGAGTGAAACCCACCAAATTTATATGAAGAAAAATAGAAAAATAATGGGAAATATAAAGTGGGAAAAGTGACCTGAGAATACAGACTGCATGTTTGAAGCCCTCTCTTCTTCTGGGTTGCTCATTGTATTCAACAGAGGAGGCAAAAAAGCCAAAGACTCTATTTTTATTCAGGGAACTTGTATCTAGAGAGAGAAAGAGAGGGGAGGGAGAAAGAGAGTGGGTGAAGGAGAGAGGGAGAGAGAGAGTGAGAGAGGGGGACGAGGATCACAAGAAAAAACTCATGAGAGAGAGAGAGAGAGAGAGAGCGAGAAAGAGAGAGAGAGTCAGAGGAAAAGTGGCATCCGAGTATAGAAAAAGAAAAGAAATAATAAAAAATTGCCAAAAATAAGAGAGGGCAACAGGCAAATTGGGTTTTATTTATTTATTCTTGCTTTTCTGTCGTGGGAAAACCCACGCGCCTGCATGCGTCATGCAATTCTCTCTATGATGCTTTCGAAGTTTTCGGTTTCAGTTTTTTTATTTCTACTTTATAATCCGTGGGTAGGTGATGGGTCTTCTTTCTTTTGTGTCTGACTCTACTTGCTTTTACTATGTTGCTAAACCCTCATCTTCCACATAAGGGTTGTCTTTGTTGGCTGAGTTTGTGGAGAGTAGGAGATATATTTAGTGTGACGGTCTACGTGGAATATGGGTGTACAATTATAGTTCATATGTTATATGATGTTAGGCAGTCGTGTAAAGTTGTCTTCCGCAACACGATTCTTCGTTTAACAGGTTTTTTTTAATTTTTTTTGAAGCTATTTTCGCGCGACCATTCACTTAATTCATCGCGTTAGTGTAACAATTACTCTCTACTTATATGTTATTACTATTACTCTCTACTTATAACAATGATTATTATACTCGACTTCTAATTTTCTAATATTGTTTGTAAATTAACATGAAAACCTAAAGCATCAAGTGGAAATAAATGGGTTGTGTTGTGATAATTGCAAGTGTACAATATTGTCCAAGTAATATAATGATAAGTAAAGTGTCGTTCTAACAAGAATCAGGTTAACCTAAAATTACTATTGTGATTAACTTCAAACTAAAGTTAAATAAAAGAAGACTTACGTTAACAAATTAAATTATGCAAAGGAACGAAACACAAATAAAAATAACAATTGATCAAAGACAAAGAAAAAGTGAATGAATTATAAAAGATTAGTGTATGGAAACACTAGGACATTAGGTTCCTCATTCTCAATCCCATCTGACCATGTTCTTCATATTAACATCAAATTATTCTCATGTTGCTAGCAGTTATCCCTTGATTCGTCAATATTTCCTGTCAGAATATATTAACCGTGTTTCTAACTATCTAGCCATGCTATGTCTAGCCACATATAGATAATCGAAAGCCTTTACGCTCAATGAATAATTATACAAAACTACATAAATCGTAACCAGTATGTCTACTCAGCTTTGAATTCATGGTAATTGTTATGATAATCAATATACTAAACTCAACCTATCAGTCACAATTTAGTTCTTCATACAAATAATGGACAAGTTATTTGATAACAACAAAGCACAATAAAAATTACTCAACATGGAAAACAACTGAGATTAATATAAAAAACAAGAATTATATGTATATGATAAGAGTACACCGTAGCCCTGGCAAAAGAATTTAGTTCATGATTGAACTAATGACAAACATGAATGAATTCAATGCCATGGAAGAAAACCCAAAACTCCAAAACTCTGAAATGGTATCTACAGGAAGATCAAAGAAGAACGTTGATTGGATAAACATGTAAAGAAAGTACTCATTTCTCTATTAATCAAGTATAGAGGCTAAGATGGAAGATTTGTAGTACTATATAATCAAGGGTAAAGTAGAGAGAGTAGAAGGCGAGAAGGAGCCAGAAGCCCAGAAGTAAGGCATGAAAGGGTAGAGAGCCAAAGGATCCAAAAGCAAAGGACTTGAGGGTACACAGCCAAAAGTAGAGAGTGATTCGCATAGTGCGAAACGAGAGTCAACAAAAGGTTTTGTTATTGCTAAGCACAAACACCCTCAAATAATGGGTGTTAACAGGTCTGGCAGGTTGACCCAAAATGACCCATTATTTAACGAGTTCACCCATTAGCGATCCGACATATTAAGCTTCCACTCAAATACTAATTTAACGAGTGGGTCGGGTTAGGTTAATGAGTCATTTCTAAAATGCTAGGTCTACTCACGACCCTTGATCATTCGGGTAAAATTTTCTCTCACTTTCTTGCCTGCCAACTAGCTTTTATTTTTCAAGATGTGGGTGAACATTGTTTATTAATGAATTTTTCAAAATTCCAAACATAGGAAAGGGATCCTCTCCGGATCCTTTCCACCAAATCCTACCAATCAACAAATTCGGGACCATTAATTTTGATCAAACGGCTAAAGTTATTATAACTATTTAAAGGAGCCAATGTTTTTAGTCATTGGATAAAATTTCAATGGTCCGAATTTGTTGATTGGTAGGCTTTGGTAGAATGGATCCGGAGAGGATCCCTTTCCCCAAACATATACCCTTATTTCTCTCTTTCAAACACAGAGTCCGTTTCAGATCTGAAATTTTCCACAAAAGCTCTGGTATCTTAGATGTTTAACTATTTCGAGATGCACCCTTTATATATGTGACAACCTGTCCCTAATTCTACGATTTTATAAATTTTAAAGTGTGAATTGACGAACATGCCTCTAGAGGCAATAGCATTGACTTTCGTTGACCATCCTTTCATGACGCGTATGGGCTATTAATTTACCATATTCTCGAAGTACTTGACGGCACGAATGCATAGGCGCAAGCGGATCAAAATTGGAGTTACAACAGAGGATTTACGGAACTACAAAACTTGAAAGCGTTTTTGTAATTTGAATTTATGGGTAACTTACTACTTTAATATTTTTTGACAGGATATTTTATTATTTTATAAATTTTTCTGGCCGTAGGGCCCACACCCACATAAACTCTCCTCTACTTTCTTGCCCCGTGGCATCTTCTCCTCCACCCTTGGACACTCTCTCACTCTCCTGACTCTCTCTCTAATCTCTCCCTGCAAATACAAAGAAGTCGACTACCACCTTTCTCTGTCAACTCCGACGTCAAGTCTCATCCTTTCCCGTGAACCAGCGCCACCATCGTCACCTTTTCCTATGTCTTAAACCCAGACCAAATCATTAGAACCTCAACAACGACAGAGGTCACTATGTTGTGTTTCCTCCAATGAACCAATGACAGATTTTGGGTTATTTGTGAGAAATGTCGAAGTTTAGTGCAGATCAGTTCGGAAGGAAATCACCCCAGATTCTGGCAGAAATCCGGCAGCTTCGAGCTCTTTTCCGACCAATTCCAACAACGGCAGGACCCCATGTTGGTGCCATAGGCCCAAAACCCGGTCCAAAGTCCTTGGCCCAAACCTTTAGCCCAACCAACCCAAACCTTTGGGCTGATGTTTCAGCCCAGCCCAGCCCAGTTCCAAAATGGGCTCAGAATATTCTTAGAATATTATTTAGAATATTCCTTGGGTTGATTTTTCGGAATATTCTCGGGAACCCTCTTAGGCTAATTTCGATGCCCCAAGTCCGTTTTTGACATCCATTTAGTGAAATTCCAAAGTTTTAATGTAGTTGACCACCAAGGCGTCTTAGTTGACTTTTTTGGGTTGACCGTCAATCTTCTCGTTGACTTTTTACAAAATTTGCCTGGGACCCTCCTTAGCGTATTTTGACGCCTTGATTCCAAAATTTCACTCCGTTTTCCCAAATTTAATTGTTTTAGTGGAGTTTTACTAATGGGTCCTAATATTATGGCTTAGGTGCGATTATTATTAGGGACTTCAACTATTCTATTTCGAACAGGTTTGACTCGATAACGTGATCTATGAGTGGGTCTTTTCTTTTATATAGTATTATATATTAAGGCTCAAAGTGTGAAAGATAAATCTTAGCTTGCTGTGTAATTTGTTGGATTGGTTATAACTATCAATAGTTGGTTAGATAGTTAGAATCTGTTAGCAAAAGTGTGTGCAGCAAGCCTAGTATATATATACACTCTATAAACTTATCATTTTTCAATCAATGGAAAATACTTTTCCCATTATGGTATCAATCGCCTCTATCTAACGACATTCTCCCGATCCCTTTTCTTTCTCTCTTCCTCTGCTTTTCTTCTCAAAACCCTAACCATGGCAGCTCAACCTTCTTCATCCTCCGATTCTGGTTCTCAAGTTCATCCCCTCCCTATTGAGATTTTGTGCCCTAATTCATCTAGCACTTCTTCGATCACGTCCATCACGATTCAGAATATTAGATCGCTTGTTCCAATTAAGCTTACTACAATAAATTACCTCACTGGGAGCGCTCTCTTTGCTCCGATCTTTCATCGGTACAATCTCACTGGAATTATTGATAGATCCATGGCGGCTCTCCCCCGAAGTTTCTTCGTGATTCTGCAAGCAATGCCTGGTTTGAGAATGATCAAAACATTCTCATTTAGATCAATTCTACTAACTCTGAGTCACTGATTTCATACACGATAGGAGTCACATCTGCTTGCGATCTTTGGTCCAAGCTTGAATCGTGTCTTGCAGCCACTTCTCAATCTCACATTGATGAACTTTGTTCTCAACTTCGCAATATTACAAAAAGTGATTCTCCTGCTGCAATTTATCTTCAGTAAATTGAAGAAATTGATGATGCTCTTGTGAATGTCGGTGCTCCGGTTGAGGATTATGAGTTGATTTAGGTGACTCTTCACGATCTTCCTCCTAAATTTGATTCCTTCATTGATGCAATTCAATTTTGTCTATGACTCTTGATAAGGTTTATGGATTGTTGCTGAGCAAGCAAAGAAATTCAATTGGAAAATCGAAAGAAATCAATGCCTTCATCTTCTTTTTAGGCATTTCATTCAGCTTCTAGATCATCTTCTCCTAGCCTTCTACCTACACCATTGCAAAACCTTAATTCTCAGGCGTTTGTTACTCAGAACTTCAACAATGTCAACTCACACCAAGGGCGTGGAATGGATCATGCTTTTTCTAACCCTAGGCAGTTTCAATCTCGTGGAATGGATCGACATTTCTCCAATTATCAATTTAATAATCAGCGCCAGAATTACACTCGTCCAACCAATCCACGCCAAACCTACAATCGTGAAGGCCGCTATGGACAAAGGATTTACTATCAACTCTATCGAGAATATAATCATGAAGCAATTCAATGTCCTCAGCGCATGAATCCTAATTTTGGCATCAAATCCTCTCAGTTTGCCATGTG